TCTTTGAGGCAAACTAATGGAGAGGATGGGGTGTGAAAAAGGTGAATGGTGGCTCCCATTGTTTTTCATTGAAAGCTGAGAGTTTATTCAGTCACACAGTCAGGGGGATCAGCATGAAGAAAACAGACAAAAAAAAATCTGGAGGGTGTTGTCATTAATCAGAAGTGTCCTTTTGTTGTTTTCACATTTCAATAGTTCTGCTTGGCAGAAAGTTTGACTTTTAGCTTTAATAAGTTTTGGCAGCTCCTCAAATTTAAAGGGAGATTTTTAACCATTTTAAGACTAGAGATCAAAGCAGCCACCGCGCCCATCGACATATTGACATTCTGACCCATGAGTGCTCTGTAGTCAGTACTACATTATTACATGAGTAATCAGTACTCATGGGTCAGACCACTTGCATGGGTGTAACACTATCACTGTGACAAAATCTGTCCACAGACAGACAGACAGACAGACATATAAACACCTGCCACAGTAGAGGAGACTGGGGACGATTAAGATTATTACATGTGACATATCATTCACAATATTCATTTAAGTGGAAAAGTTCAGATCAGGAACGGTTGCAACGTTAAAAATACGTTCATTTTCACTAATTAACGTTTTCTTTTTGTCTCAGTAAGCATAGTGTTCTGAATATTATTTATTTAATAATATTTATCAAAGAGCTGTTAATAAGTTTTGTTTTATTGCTTATGATAAACAGAACAGGCAAATATATTATAAGACTATAAGAGGCTAACAAAATAATTACCAAAAAAACATGTTTGTTTTCTCTTATGTGGTAAAATGAGCATTTATTGTTGCATCTTTTGTGCTATGGGACAAAATTAGCTGCATATTTTGCCTATTATGTCAAACTCAATTGTTGAAACACACTGTTGTTAGGTCTGTTTGGATCCGGCTGCTTAGCTTGAGGACAGTCACACTAACCTGTTGCAACCGTTAACACTATCAGCCAGATACAGACAGACAGAACATCATGCGCTAGCTAGACACACTGATCTGAAACATGCTAACCATGTCACTTGGAAAACATTGATTCAAATTAAGTACGTTTTGACTAATTCAAACAAAAGGTCGGGACAGTTTGACAAAAATAATAAAACAGCTCATGAAAAAAATTACTTTCATTCCACAAAAATACGTTTTTTTTTGTTTGTTTTTTTTTCAATAAATGCAGCAGCAGATGTTGTATGTTTCCTCTGTCTTCCTGGTGAGGGGAGGATCTAACTGAGCATGTGCAGTAGGATTGTCAGCGCTCTAGCATGTTTCTGATTGAAGGAATAAGAATTATTGCAACTGTTCACAGTCGCCCTGATTCAAAACCACCGCTGTGGTTGTTTTCCGCTACAGTAGATGTCTTCAGCATCATATTGTTGCGATGACTGACACACACACACACACACACACACACACACACACACACACACACACACACACACACACACAGAGACTCACAAGGTGAAAACAATACGAGCCACGCCGTTGCGGCTGGTAAAAATGAATTATGACATCCTCACTCTGCCAGATGGCTGTTCAATGTTACATGTCTTACATGCCATCATCTAACAAAATTAACAATGAAAACTGTCAGACATGACTGCAGCGATAGGAACTCATCCCATATTCCACTTAGCATGCATCTAAGAATGAAAAAGAAATCGCTGTCTTCAGCAAAGACGACTGAGATTCACTCATTACTTCCTCAATTTGTGTGCTTTGTTAAACTGACAGCTGAAAACATGCATAATTGCTTTCAGCAGAAACTGACAGATGTTTGACTCCAGTGGCAATAAAATCCCAACAAACCTTATTTTTCATCGTTTTGGGCTGCAAATGTAGCAGGAGACACCAAACTATATAAACTACTAGGCTCAAGATACAGAGAATTTAGTGCCTTACCACTGAGCCATGTCACCAGCAACAAACTTTACATAGTTTTTATCAGCCTGATTTCCTTCTAATTATGTTACTCCCCTGGCCATGCCATGACCATGTAAATGAAATGTCATTTGAATGCTGGCATTTGACGGAGCCACTGTAGCGCTGATTTTACTCCAGCCAGTGGCTTTTGTTGTTCTCAAGCCGTGACTTTCCCAAAGTCAACAGTTTGCAATCTGTAAATATTTGTGCATCCTCTTTCCCCCATCAGCTCAGGCCCGTAGCACCGCATGAATCAAATGGCATACTATGCATAGTGTGTAATAACAGGGTAACTGTCACTGGTGTGAACCATTAATGGTCACTGCTATGCATATTTTAAAAGTGCGAGGATTTTATCACAGATTTTTAATAAAAAATAAATTAGTCATAAATGGGACTGCAACTGAAAGGAACATCCATTTAGTCTAAGTGAGATGCTATAGATCTTATTTGCCTAATTTAATAACTGGTGTCAGATACAGTTACTGGTAGGAAATATTCCCAGCATACAGGAAGTGGTAATTTGAAAATTCAGAGCAAAATAAACAGCAGCAAATGAGTCATTCATCCAGAGGTGCTGAGAGGCTCTAGCAGTAATTGTTTTTGCTTCTCTTGCCACATAGGTGTTATTTTTCATTTTTTTTCACAGACCAGCTGTGTTAGTTAACCTGAACCTATTGATTTTATGTTCAGTATTTCCACTTTATCACCCTTTGGGTCTGAGGTTCACAGTTTTGGACATCATTCCTAACAGTAAATATAACATTGTCCACATATGTTAATTGCTGAGATCTGGAAACACAACATCACTGCTGTAGATGTCTGACAGGATCGACGATCAGAGAGGTTTTTAAACTGAATCAAAGGTGAATGAGGACATTATTGATTATTATATCTCTGAGTTTGCCTCTAAATACCTTCATTATGTACACATTTTATATTATATACCTTTTTATTGAGATAATCTGACTCAACTCTTGTCTTGTTTATAGCTGGCTTGATCAGCCAGGTTAGGGTTGCAATGTTGTGTCACTAGAAATATTGAAAATCATACGAATGATGGTCAACACTACAAAAATAAGATTGCATTTATAATAAACTGGGATTTTCCTTTAAAGCTACAGTAATTTGTATGTTTACATAAAGTGTGGTTCAGATTGGTATGTGTAACATGACAGGGTTCACCTGTACTCAAAAAGCTATGAATTATCATCCCACTTTTTGGCCGCAATCAGCTGTTTTGGTTCAGTCTCGCCGCTGTCCTTAACCCTGTTTCCATCGGCAACGGGCAGCTATTTTGCAACTGGAGCTGGAGAACGTGGTGGAGCATTTAGTATCTACGAGTTGCAGCTGGTGGAGACCAATACAGAGCAAGAAAGCAAGTGAATATTGAGCATTTGTTTGACAGGTGGCCAGACTCTAAATGAATGCTAATGTTGCCATATCATATTACTTGTTATGCCATAATATATAATGCATGCATTATTTATTTATTTATTTTTACTTGTTATGGAGCTCTGCCCCCAAGTGGAGAAAAAAAAAAAAGTGCCTTTAAGTGACAGTATTTAATAAAACAACTCCTGGCTGCCTAATGTTGCTTCAAATGTACAAGACTGTCTAGTACCTTTCTAAATTATGAGCCTGGAAGGAAAATAATAAGAGGACGATGGATCCCTGCAGGAGAAAATAAAGATATATTCTCATCAGCTTTGGTTCCAGGACACCTGAATGACTTAAGTTACTGATTTATTGAAGTCATTCTGTTGTGGAACCTTGTGAACCTCACTGGCATTGAGACAAAGAATGATGGAGTGGACAAAATGAGTGAGTTCAACCAAGAGTCACAGGCAACAACAGACAAATGAGGATGTCAGCTCCCAGACTGAAGATGAGTCACGTTGCAGCAGAGTAATCAACATAATGAAAAATGACGTGTTTAATGTGAGACTATGTCTCTTCAAGACACTGCAACAGTCCTGCATAATTGTTTCTCTGTATTGATTATCCTTTAATGATCTGAAAGTATTGCTTCACGGTCTGCCACTTATGAGAACGCGTATTAATCCAGCTTTGATCTCACCTGTCCTTCCAGCCTTCATCCCGGCTTCATCCTCTTCTGACTCCTTCACCTTTTGTGTTTCAGTGCAGCTTTAACGAAGGCTGTCATTGCAAATATGATTCATAGTTTTGGAGAACACATTATTTTGTTGTCATAAATAACACAAAATGCTACAGGCAGCTATATCAACATCGACAAACAATGTTTTGTCAAATGTTTTTTTTAAAACATGGTACAGTGTCTGAAGGTGGTGGAGATCCCACTGTTGATAGGATTTCTAGACTATCATGGGATTTTCAGTAGCTGAAATTCAGGCTTGGATTTGTTTAGTTCCCTTGTGATATCATGTTTGTACAAGGTTTTCCAAACGGGTCTCATAACAGGAATATGGTAACATTTTACAGGATTTTTTTTTATTTTTTTTGGCTTTGATGGTCTGGAAACCAGATCAAATGTGACTCAACTCAAATGTGATACCGAATACACATGCACAAACCTGATTTCCTCTCCCACAGCGGTGTAATTTCACTGTCTGTCACACCACTGAGGTTCTTCAAGGCCACAGCTTTCCTCCTTACAAACTATAACATGGCATCAAACGCGATGATATCCTACACAACATCATCAACTTTCAAAGCGCCCTATTGTTGCAGAACAGGCAAACACAACAACATAAACATAACACCTCTGAGTGAATAGGATGAATATAAGTCCTGAGAACACAAACATAATTCATTTTATAGATGTGCCTTTGAGCAGCATATTAAAGATTACAAAACAAGGATAAAAAGGTTGGCACTGCAAAAATTTGGTTGACTGTAGCGTATGCTGCAAATTTTCGACCCTTTAGCTTCATCACTTTCATTTTTCTCCCTTACATTATGTATTTCCTCGTTTTCATTTATCCCTCCTTACTTCCCCCTTGCTTCATATCTCCCTCTCTTCTCTCTCTCCCCGTGTCAGACGACAGAGTAATAACCAGAACCTCCTGTTGTGTCTCTCTTCACATCAGGCAGAAGAACTTTGCCAGAGGCATCGAGCAGCAGCTCCCAGATGGCATGGTGGTGGCATCGGTGCCAACGGAGGTTCAGTGCCATGAGGAGCTGTCGAACCCTGTGCCCGACCCAGAATACCTCACAGGTATGAAACCATCTTTCACAGCTCACACCTGTACACTGGTACTTCATCATTGGTCTGTTGGAAATCCTCATTACTCAAAAAAAAAAGGTTAACAATAAGCGAGACCTGCCCCTGAACCCGGTTTGAGCTGGGTCCAAACTATATTCAGTCTGGCTGGGTTCTGGTCTGGTTGCAGCTTGTCTCACATCTCTGTGTTGAGATTGATATTGATCCAAGTGGACTTGCTAGAAACTCTGACCAAGGTGTTAATGTACCAGAAATTTGCAAAAGAAAATGTTTTATAAGGACGGAACATAACGCGTGTAACACTGTTGTCGGTGCAACTGCACAGACTGCACGACAGACATCGCGGGTCTGCCACACTCTGCCTTCTCCAGCACCTCACCTGACACCCCGTCACCACCTGCACTCATCAACGGTGAAAATGAAACACCTGTATGCCAGATTTAAATACAGTATTTATAGTTTGTTTTCTTTGTATTTTTTTAAAGCGGTGAAGACGTCAGACCAGATCTGACTTCTTTGTTGCATCAGCTGCTGCTGCCTTTACATAGTAACATGTAGATCATTATTTGTGAGGGATTTGCATTGTCCATTTATGCTTAATTGTGTTTTTGGTGAAATATAAGGCTTACAACATAGTTAATAATGAAAATAGTTGATATTGAAATTATCTGTGAATCATCAGTTTATGACATAGGTTATTTATTAGTTTTTCGACAGTATCTGCCTTTTCAATACAAAATCTTTTGATAGTTTTTTTCTTAGAAACTATCAGCACTTGTTAAGGAAAACAGTAAAAACAGTGACTTCATGCCCAAGACAGGCCAGTTTACTTAATCAATAAAATCAATCAAACCCTAACCTTACCCTAAGTGCTTTTGTTGCACAGAGGGACGGCCTGTACCCACTCTGTCCGGATTCATTAGTCGATGTCATTAGAGGCAATATCACTGTTACCAGTGCGTCGTCCGTCTGGATACATTATTATCGACTGAGTTTGACCTGAAATTATGTTGAGCAGTCATGGGTATGGGTGTTTGATTGACTACTTGAATAGGATAGAAATCAGTTTGACAGAAGAGTTGTCTGTAAAGAACCACTCCATTTTGACAGAAACAGGAAATAATATTTTTCTTATTATTTCTCTTTGCTAGAATTTCAGTTGTAGAACATGCAGGAATTTTTTTAAAGAGCAGACGTATAATGGGGAGGATACCCTCCAGCTCTGCCAGCATAGGTAATAACCTTTTTCCTCATGTTCAGAGTGCAGTAGAGAGTACTATAATAGAGAGTGTAAAGTTAATAATTGTATTTTAGCATATTTCCTGAAAATGCTTCATTCAGGCAGCCTGCTGGCTAAGTTTATTCCAGGAATCTGCGTAACTGCCTATGAATTGCCTTACAGTAGAAGGCAGCAGTTTGCAGGATGGTTTTATTGCTTGTTGTTGATATAACAGCAGAGATACAAGGCCAGGCGGGGCAGCAATTCAAAACTACATCATCTGAGGTCACGTCAAAGGTGATGGACAATCAAATGACGGCGGAGCAGCAGTGGCTCCAGCTGCCATTTATTGGAAACTTCAGAGGATATTAAAACCGGCTAATCTAAATGGATCTTCTGCTGTCACGTCCCCAAGCTCCTGTCCCCCCTTCTGTCCCTCCTATGTCCCCCGTCTGCCTGCACAGCTCAAACCTTTTTATCCCTACATTGCCCCTGGGCTTGCAGTGCACACGGCCCAGAACAGAGCCCGATGTGGCAGCACTTCCCCTCTCGTGGCTCTGTGTTGGGCCTTTGCTGCAGCAGCCCTGGGCTTTATTGAAGAATAATATCATGAAATGAGATATCATTTCAAAGCATCCAGCTGGGTGCCACAGAAGCACACTGGGTGCTCTGGGGCACAGTGGTGCAGTTTTTCACACTGTACCCAACCGATGTGAACTTAAGCGTGATGCAAGAAATGTATGATGTAGTGGTCCAGAGACGGGTGTGGAACAATGCGAAAATCCACCATATAGAGAAAGGAAGTCCTGACGTTACAGTTGCGCTAGCCGCTGTTCCACTAGTGTTTTCCCACATAAAAAGTGAAAAAAAGGAAAACTGAGGCTGACGCACATCTACGCTTTCTTCCTCATTGAGAAATCTTTAAAACCTGAAGCTTGTCCGTGAAGTTTATTGTCCATATTCTGAGATAAATGAGCACTTGCTATTAGAAGTCGAGACCTTTGTGATTTTATATTAACTACAGTTTAAAAAAAACACGGTGCCCATTCATTTCTCCACAGCAGCAGTGCAAGAATTAAACATAATTGTCATTATTTCTCCTTTTATTTATTATATCCACTCACACTTCCCTCTCGGAGCTGGGAACTCTGCTGTCTAGTAGTGACCAACTGACCTAAGTATGTCATTCTACTGACTTTTAACTTGCACAGGTCTCAGCCATGAGGAAAATTATGGTTTCTTTTAATGGAATTGTTCATTGAAGATTATTAGCCCTCTCATGTGTGCATGCTAAATATGAAGCTAGAACCAGCAGGCAATTAACTTAGCATAAAGATAGGAAGCAGGAGGAAACCACCAAGGTTTAAAAAATCCAATTCTGTTAAATAATTAATATATTATAATGTAATATGAAAAGACCTCATTAAAACAACATTGTCTTCATCATCGTCCTGTTGATCCATTTCGTTTTGTATGTTGTAGTGATGGCGGCGAAAATAAAAACAGGCCGCATTTATCTTGACTTAAAAATCATTTACTGAATTTTTGTGGAGCTTTTCAACACATCTTATGGTCTTCTTCAGTGGATAGAGTCAACTCATTTGTTGTCATGAGATTTAAAATAGCGACTTAGTTTTCTCAGTGATAACTAAGCAAACTGAATTATTAGGTAAAACTACAGTTTCCAATGAAAAGACTGAACTTTCATGAACAACTGTGTTATTCAAACATGTTTGGCAACATTATTCTAAGATAATATTTTCTTTGGCTGAAGACGTGAAGAACTGCAGCAAATGACTTCACTGACCATGTATGCAACTTTTTTTTTTTTTTCCCAACATGCACTGTCTGACAATAGCTCTCTAACACAATGTTGGATGGCGTGAGGAAAGAAGGCATTACCCTCGAGCTCTTTTTTATATTTAAGATGTTTCTCAATAAACTGACACACTCTTCCACCGTCCTGTCAGAAATGATGCAAGCATCACATAAATGCCTCATGAAAGCTGACAAGCATTCACTCAGTATCCATAAATGTACCCAGTGGTGCTTCAGGCATAGTAAATGTAGAATTGATATTTTGGCCATATACTTACTTTTATACAAGCAGTACATAAAATACCAGGAACATCTTATAATATAATGCAGTCCAGCTGAATAGCTCTGGAATATGTTCTTCTGACAGTGTCCCTCAGTCAGTGTTATTAAACCATTTAATCATTATTTTACTCCTGCGTTTTTTTCCTGTTTGACACATTGTCATGATTCGTAAAACATTTTATCTACCACATTACATAAGTTGACAGTGTTGGTGACTGATATACCAGCCACTAATGTGGCAACAATGTGACCTGTTTGTTTCCTTAAAAACTGATGCTCTCTATTATAGCTGACCCATACGGATCAATTGTATTCCATTTGATTTGACTCACTTATGTACCTGCCTGTTCTAATTCACGTGGGGGGTGGGATATTAAATCTGTAGTAACACTATTTTCCCCAAAAAGTCTTGAAAATTACAATGACATTTGGCAAATACAGAAAACACGAATGCATTAACAGAACGAATGGATCACACTGTTCATCAACACAATATGAAAAACAAACATATAAAACATTTATTTAAAACCTCACATACATGATGGGTAATCTTCACAAAGCATTATTTATCGCTCTGCTGAATAATAAACTTTGCCTGTAGTTTTGTCCACTCCCTGCCCGAGGTGTTTCTGCTTTGAAACCTTGTGTTCATGTCATTCCTTCACAGGGATGATGGGATTTTTTATTGAAGCCCTGAAGTATAAATGTTGGTACTTGCTATAATCTGTGTTTTTTATATATTATATTGGATTATTTGACTGTATGTATTTGAAAAAGGTCACGCTTTATGACAAATGAACAGAGAATCATTACCTGACTCTACATTTCCCATCAGCACTGGAGTGCATCGTTTAACTCATTGTTTGGTTGTATAAACAGCAATTTTACCGTTGTAAAAACCTGCTGTGTGGAACATTTAGCTAAAGAGACTCCAACTGAGTCAAAATATTGCTTAATGTGTGCTGGATGCATAAATATGCAAATTGCCATTTCAATTCAAAAGGTGATAATATGTCAGTGTTGTGTTTGCAGTTTTTTTCTGCTGCCACCAAGTGGCCAAAAACCATAATTAAACGCAGATTTATGCGCCGTTGGAACCTGGATGTGTTGAATCAGTGAAGAGCTGGAAGACACCAACCCATGATGTCCAGGATACACCTGCCTGTTTGTAACAGTCGCGATGACAATCCTATACTCTTTCAACTTTTCAGTTTTGGCACCTGAAATGAGAAAGTTTTTGTTCAGGCCAGAAAGTTTTTCGAATGCCAACAACTCACCAGCTGGCAACATAATCATTGAGTAACTGGGACTGATCAACAATCTTGTCACCCCCTACGTGGATATATTATGGTCATTATGTTCTGCGGGGCAGTAACAATCTTACTTGTTGGCCCTTTAAAACAGATGGCCCGTCACACGCTCATTGAATTCGTTCTTATAAACATTTGCTACCTCTCAGCTGTATGACAGCAAGTTGTGTGAAGGCAGAGGAGAAACTTGCTTCAGCGTCGAAATCTTGGCCAAGAAAGTGGTGGCATCGTCCTCATGAAGTCACCTGGGGCATCTTCTCACCTTACTGCACCTGTTCTCTTGGCCTCCACATTTCCACTGAGTGAACAAACACAAGCGTCCAACGCAGCGCTCTGCAGCGCCAGCTAGCTGGCACGTGGCCACC